ATGTGGAATAGGCATCTGTGATTAGATGCACACGATACTCTTTCTCTCTGAATTTGTCTAACAGAAGATGACTGGATGTAATATAGTCAGCATTTTCCGTACAGTTCCTTTTTAGTCAGCAAAATTGACTCCTGGGAATGTTGTCTTTCCACCTAGGATGATGGCAACTTTTACAGTGAAGGTATGAGTTACCCCGGTTGGTTTCACGTGATTTTTAGTGTTAATATTGTGGTCTTTGGTAGAGAGCTCTAGATCCAGAAAGACCAGGTCTGTGCTGCTGACCACGTGGGTAAAGGTAAGGCCTAGGTCGTTTTCTGTCATGTTCAAAGTCATGTTCACTGATCTCCTTCAGTGCCCAATTGAACTCACAAATGTTCAGTACTGAGCAGTTCCAGGTTGTGTCCTAAGCCAAGTTGCAACGAAGGAGGAGATCAGGGATTTGTGTCCTCAATCTTTTTATCTAACTCAAAGGAGAAACCATTAGAGGTCTATTTAGACCCATGATACTTCCCCTAGAGGACCTGTCATCAATGGTGATAACATTTAAAAAGAAACACAAATGCCTCTACATACAAACAATGCACCCGCACACACATAGCATACAATTTTGATGCTATTGTTTGTTGGAAATACAACAGCATACACTGATTTGTCTTACTTACAGTACATTCAGATATGTAATAGTATCTTTTGATCTGTGGATGGCAGTATACTGCAATGTTAGTGCTCTAGTGCTTACTTAACTATGATACACAGGAAGTTCTCTATATATGTTTCCTGTAAAATGCTGTATTCAGATATAATATCCTTCTAAGCAAGTAAAATATAATTCAGCATTCCTCAAGATCTCAGTGCTTCATCTAAACACATAACCAACATTGTGTACTTTAGACATTTCATATTCCACAATCATTAGAGGGTTAGGAAAATTTTTAGGTTGGATTTACACTTGTGCATTGCATTGAGGTGTGTTACCACAAGCTTGTTAACAGCTTGTGGTAACAAGCTTGTTGTGTTGTGTCACAATAATGTGTGTTGCATTAGGGTAGCTTGTTCATTTTGAATACGCGAAATAATGCCAATAATAATTGGTTAAACCCAGAAATTTGATTGTTGTGAACAGGGCCGGATTCCCCACAAGGCCACCGAGGCCCGGCCTCGGGGCGGCAGGGAGCAGAGAGGCGGCAGCGCTTTAAAGTCTCCTGACGCCCAGAACATGCAGTTCCAGGCGCCGGACGGTAATTTCTTTTCTATATTTAGCCCTGCTTTGCACAAGCAGGGCTAAATGTAGAGCGGGGAAACCACTTGTTTCTTTACAAGTGATCTTGGTGATGTCGACAAGATCACTTGTAATAAGACTGCAGGCTTTCTTTAAAAAATTAAAGAAACAATAAAAAAATTCAAACTAACCCTGCCACCCCCGCTATCCGGTTGGCATTCTCCATTGTGGGGGTGGGGGCGCATTGAGGAACCTGGCCTTGGGACAGCAGGGAGAGTAAATCCGGTCCTGGTCGTGAATTTGTACCAGCATTGCAAGCCTATTCCAAATGAACAAGCTACCTTAATACAATACACATTATTGTGACACAACATGTGAAATGTGCTGCATTAAGGTACCGTAGCTTGTTCATTTTGAATAGGCTTGCGATGCTGGTACAAATTCACAACAATCACATGATAATCGTCAGGTGTATGGGTAGCTTAAGGTAGATGTGTTACTGATTTTTCAACCAAGCCTACACACTTAATTAGTAAGAATAAGCTTTTAGTTCTGCTTGTGTCAAAGTTGGTTAGCTTCCTCTGGCTTTTATGCTCATCGGGTGATTGGAAAATCTCAAACAGTGTGAACACAAAAAAACAAAAACATGAGTTACAATTTAATTATTCTAAAAAGATGCAAACTGTGTAACTAACATAGCTCAGTTAGCTGGGTGTAGATCCACGTCAGCTTGCTAACACACAAAAGAGCTGATTTCAATCTCTGCACAGATACATTTATGAACATCAGGTACATATTCAAAGACTATGACATATGGCTGGCACAGCAATAACCAACCAGGATGCAATTTAGTACATCTCCGCCAGAATAGTCATCCTATCTTACCAGTAAAGAAGCTTAACGTAAGAACCAATTAGAATAACTTATTTTCTCCAATCCCTCTTCAAGCATCGTCAGCCTCGTCACTCAACCAATGAAAATACAACAGGCTCTCTCTCCTTTGCCCAATGGTTTTTCGATTCCAAACTGAGTGGGTTGTTCCAGGAAGTAAGAGCCGGTAATGCAGAAAATAATGCACCTTCTGATTCCCTTTAGACGTGCCCGGCTTTTGCGCCTCCCTGCCTGTCACTGGTTTTGATTATGTGTGTTGTGTCTGCTGATTAGTTGCTATTAAAGTAAACGTTCACACTTACATCTGGTTTAGCTACATAGAGTGAACCTGTGCCCAGACTATGGACATTCAAGTATATACATATATGTGACATATATACACATCTTAACAAACAGTAATATCACATTAAAGGTTTTAGCTTAAAGCTGAACTCTGGGAAATGTTTTTCTTAACCATTGCAGTGGGGCTACCCCTTCACTGCAAGGTTATACTAACAAGGTTATACTAACAAGATGCTGGAAGGTGGGTGGCGCTTAGACCGGTCCCTTCCGCCTCACTCTTCCTCCATTACAGTGACAGTAAGTCCCTTGGCATCCTCACATGCTATACAATGTGTATAGAACTTGACAACTCACAGGACCTTAAACCTCTGCAAAAGAGAGGGAGAGAGGCTCCAGGGATCGGTCTTAGAGCAAGCCAGCTTAGAGGATTGGGTGAGTATAACTTTTTTATTTTTGATCCTAGGCAGAAAGGAGCACTTAACCCTTGCATTGAAATATATTTCTCAAGAGCCACAAAGGGATAAAAGTTCACTTTGTGTGCATCAAATGCTTTTGGAAACCCAGATATTATCTTTAAAGGAAAACTATGGGGTCAGTGTTTTTCCCCATAGTTCTCCTTGGGGTAACGGGAGGACACAAACTAGCGTCCTCCCGTTACCCTAAGCTCAGTATACCGCGAGCTACAGCTCGCGGTATACTGAGACGCCGCACCTGGAGCGGATCCCAACGTAGATGACGGGATCCGCCCAGCTGCGTGAGTGACAGCTGGCTCTGCCTATCTAGAGGCAGAGCCAGCTGTACCCGCCCCCTCCCCCGTCCGTTCCGCCAGTCAGCGCTGGCAGATCGGAGCGGGGAGAGGGGAATCCAGCCCCTCCCCCTGTCACGGCAGAGAGCCGTGACAGGATCGAGGGGTGAGGGAACCCGGTATGTGTTCTCTCACCTCCTATAACGATTATACAGCAATGCAGAATAGCACCAACTATGCAGGAGTCCCAGCAATCCATTATATTATTAAAAGAGAACTATGGGGTAACCTTTTTATCCCATAGTTCTCTTAAGGGTCACAGGAGGACATATACTAGCGTCCTCCCGTGATCCAAAGCTCAGTATACCGGTATTCTGTCGAGAGCGTGTCCTAGTCGAACTTGCAAACCTCAGCATCTGCACTTGCGCACAGACCAGTATGATCGAAGAAACAGGCATTTATTGACAAAGTATTTTGTTTAAATCGTTAATTGTGACCGTTAATAATATGCCATGCATCATTTACTGCCCTGGATGGCATATTATTAATGGTCACAATTAACAACGAATACTTTAAATAAATACCTGTTTCCTCGTTATTCCAGTCTGTGTGCAAGCGCAGATACTGGGTCAGCGTTCTCGACAGAAAACCGGCACTACATTTTTAAATTGAAGCGGCTGCCTGAGGTCCTGCGCTTGCTGGGGACTTTGGCAGCCTTCCTGTTAACCACACGGTGCTTGTTTATAGTGCCTTCCCATGGCGGTGGGGGGTTGGGAGGCCCTTCATGGTTTCTTGCACCAGGGCCTTGAAGTTTCTAGTTACACCTCTGCACAGTGACATTTCTTTCAGTTCTATCGGCCTTAGGCCTCGTTCACACTAGATGCAGTGCTTTCTGGCCCGATTCTGGTCGGAACGCACTGCATGGCATTGCGGCCGGCTCACTTTTTTGTGGGGCAGGAGGGGGCGTGGCAGCCCATTGAAGTGAATGGCACCATAGCCACGCCCTCCGGCCACAATGCGATCGCCCCCACAGGATCGCAAGGCACATTGTGCCTGTGGTCCAGTGCGATCAAAATAGTGCTTGCAGCATTTTGATTGCACCGTACCGGACTGGTCCGCAGGCGCATGTGCCTTGTGATCCCGTGCGGGCGATCGCATTGCGGCCGGAGAGCGTGGCTACGGTGACATTCACTTCAATGGCCCGCCACGCCCCCTCGTGGCCCACAAAAAAGTGAGCCGGCCGCAATGCAAAGCAGTGCTTTCCAGCCAGAATCGGGCAGGAACGCACTGCATCTAGTGTGAACAAGGCCTTAGCATGGATTGCGATGCACCATACATGCAGTGCTTGGTTTTAGAGCAATTGAAAAAGCAAATTGCCTTGTCTTCGTGTTGGGACTGCACTGGGCAAGGCTGAAAAACACAGCTGGTGTTAGCGGGCCCTTATACTTTTCTAGACGTGGTCCTCTGCCTAAAATGACACTGTCATGATAAAAGTATGCTGGCCTTATTTTGAAAATACAATTTGCCTGTCTGTGTCTAAATTAAATACTTTACAGTCACAGACCTAAAACAAGAATACAGTAAATGACTTAGAAAAGTGCCAGAATTTCTTATCCCTATACTTGTTCTAGGTCAAAGACTCAGACAGCATTGAAGACAATGAATGCATCAACCAGAAATGTAACATTCTCAAAGGAGGGGTCAGCAATAGCAGCTCCCATTATTTCTCAAGACAAAGTCACTTTAAGAGCTGCTGCCAAAATTTGCAGCACCTAGTGGCCAGAGGGGAAGAGCAAGGAGCATACCCATCTAAAGGGATGCTGGGGGCGTCTGCTTACATCCATCACAGTAGCTGTGGCAGCCATGTCTGAGGATCATGAAGGGGATCCAGGTTCCGGACTATGCAGGGTGTCTGTACTATGCTGTCTCACACTGGCGTGTTCATATGTTGGCAGTTTGTACGTATGGAAGAGCGACCTACCCAGGTATGTGTCTAGGAGGTCTGCTGGGGTAAAAATATAGAGACCAGAGAGGGCACAGCTTATGAGGCTGCAGGCAGAAAACAGAAAGTGTACTACAGGAAACTAGATACTTGTCAGGGAAGTAATACTGATAGGAAACTTCCCTTTCAGGCTAATGGCTGAGATCTGACTGATGAACTGTCCATTTTTTCCTTTCTCCAACACAGAGACCACCCTGCGGTCATCAAGAGGAGGTTTACCAGCGTACTGATTGTATCCACATTGTCCCCTTTATTCCTGTCAGTGTGGAAGGAGGTAACTGGCATCAAGGTATGCAGGAGCCAAAACTGAAATCTGTGTTCCCCAACATGTGATAGTTACACATTATGAAAGCTTCATGTATATATACCTTCTGTCTGAAGTAAGCGGTGTAGAGGGGAATTTATCAAAACTGGAGCAGTTGTGCATGCAACCAATCAGCTTCTCTCTTTCATTTTAAAATCTTAACTGAACAAACTGAAGAGAGAAGCTGATTGGTTTCCATGGGCAACTGCTCCAGTTTTTGTGTGCTCCAGTTTCAATAAATTCCTAATTTATAGTATTTTAGCCGGGTTAGTTTTTTGCTTCTTTTCAACCCCTTGCCACAAACCGGCTAGTTCCACTTTTATGTTAATTCCAAAGTTTTAATTCACAAAAGCAATAGGTTAAACCACTTTTTTTTTTTTTTTTTAACAGATACCTCCATCCATACTTAACAGCATTGAGAGACAAATCACCCACTGCAGCTATTGTATTCTGACAACAGAGAATATTCAAGTGTTCTAAACCCGAAAAGCTCAGTTTTAAGTGAACCTTCCGCTTCACATCTCAGTGAAAAGAATGCATGCTGCAGCATTCATCCACATTTATGCTGCTGGGTTATTTTTCTTGTCACTGACTGTTAAGTCAGGCCCCCTGGCTTGTGAGATTCTTTAAGGCAACTTCTACTGAGAAATACAGGGGGTGCCATTACAGATCCCCCTGAAAATGCTAGTTGCCTGGCTGTGACCTACATCAATACCTTAAGACAGGGGTAGGCAGCCTTGGCATTGCAGATGTTGTGGAAGTAATGTCCCATGAGCCATGGCAAGACTATCATAGTTAGAGGTATCACTCAAATAGGCATCAAAGGATTGTAGTTTCACCACAGCTGGAGTGCCCAGGTTGCCTACCCCTACCTCCTTAAAGACAACGACTTGAAACAAGCATGCAGATCAGGAATGGGAATTCCACTCAGGTAAATAGAAAAATAGCACGTATTTAACATCCTTCACGATCTAAGACGGGAAAATTCCAGTCATGAAGTCTGAAGAGATTACACAGACTGCTGGCGGCTTTTAGCCACCGGGGGTCTGTTCCGTTTTGTAGAGCCGGCGACCGGCTTTACAGTAGAAGTGATTCTGCTGCTCACTGCGGAATCTAGCCGCCGGCAGCAAGTTTTAATCGGAGAATTTCCACTTTTACCAATAATGCTGCAGTATATAAATTTGGAACTTTACCCCATCTTTACAAACTGAGGCTGTGAAATATTTGAGGCAGTAGTGCCATTATTCCCAACAGTGAGGCAGTAGTCCCATTATTTCTTGCAAAGGAGATTTAGGGGACGGAGATAACAAAGCATGTTCTAAAGAAAATCTCAGAAATGGTCATCTGGTTGGTGGCAAACTGCAGTTAGTTTACTAATAATTGTTCACTTCAGGATCATTGAAAATATATTTCCACAAATATTTTTCCTGTCTCCAGACAGATGCAGCCTTGCTTTACCTTATGGGTTTCCGTCTTGAAGGGATTCTTTCAGCTACAGCATTGCCTCTATTACTGACCATGGTAAGTCAACTACAGCATCAACATTTCCAATTTCAGATCAGCCAAAAGCCTATATTTAAAAAAAACAAAAAACATTTTGCCTTCATATGCAGATATTATTCCTTGGCCCTCTTGTCCAACTCTCTATGGATTGCCCATGGGACTTCCTTGATGGCTTAAAAGTGGCATTTGGTAAGCTGTTTTAGAAGACAGATTTTGCAGTAACAGCAGAAAGTCAGTGTTTTGATCAACTATATCAAGCAAACTGCATTACAATATTTGATCTGTAAACCATACTGTTTGGAGTTATAGCTGGTATTTTTTTGATAATTCAGATCCTAGGTTCTGGATGCTCTGTGTAACTGACATGCGGTGGCTACGTAACCAGGTGATTGCCCCTCTAACAGAGGAATTAGTATTCAGGGCCTGCATGCTTCCTATGTTAGTACCATGTACGAGCCCTGGGACCGCTATCTTCACATGTCCATTGTTCTTTGGCATTGGTGAGTACAGCTGAATATCTTTGAAAAAGTTTGTCTTTATTCATTTCAATCTTGAATATATGTTACCTCTCTTTGGAGACCCCGCAGACTGATAACTTTCACTCTGAAAGTAAACTGTAAGGCGAGGTTCACAAGGGCAACAAATGGGTAGTAAAAATAGGTGGTTGAGATGCTTTTTTAAAAAAAAATTTATAACAAGGTGGCCACTCAGGACCATGCACATTGCTGCAGCCATGATGCTTCACTTCGCAGCACAGACATTTATTTTGTCATGTCACGTTTGGCAGGCGGCACTGAGTGCTAAACGTGCTCATTGAAGTCAACAGAACCACACTGTAACCATGTGCCAGCCACTTGGTATGCCGTTGTGGTACAGTATTTCAATGTTAAATCCCTCTTGGGATGAGAAATAACAGGCGTTCAGCAGTTGCCTCCTGAATGCTTGTAAACAGCCACTCGACCAATACCGCTTTTTGTTCTTCTAGTTAAAGCAAACCCTTGCTTTACACATGCTGGCAAAAACAATAGGTTGTGTGTAATTGAATACACAGTGATTGCCCCAGGGGGCAAAAATACCACTTGGTCTCACGGGGGAATTTGTGAGACTGGCCTAAACACAAGTATGGATGAGACCTGCCTTTGCTCTTCAACTCTCCGTTAAGTCGAAGAGAGTGAAGAAATTGCTTGGTATTCCCAAGTGGGATATTTCAATCCCCTTCCTCTCTTGTAACGATGCTGGTGCTTGGCCGAGTGATGTCACATGTGGGCAACTCAGAACTTACACAGGGCTCCCTTTCCGCACTCTCAGAAGCTGGACAGAGCAATGCTGGAGCAAAAGGAAGGGAGCGGGAGGGTGGCATTAAAGTGCACTTGTTTAAAGCCCATTATAGGTGGCTATGATTTACTAGTCATGTTGCCTCAGTGAGAACAGTATACTTTGTAGATGGCGTATGGTGGGGGTGGTTGTAACAGAAGAAACCTATGACGCACAAGATCATGTGCTGCAGTCCTACCCAAAACATATGTTGGGAGAATGCAAGATTTTGCTGTGGGTTGTATTAAGCTCAAATTGAAGCACATCTGAGCTGAGGGAATCATGAGCATTGCCCCGGCTCCATTTGCTCTGGGCTGAAGGCTGAATGAGAGAAATCCAATTGATTCCCCCCATCCATGCTATTGTAATAGATTCCCCCATCCGTGCTATTATATTCAGTTGCTGCAGTATACAATACGGCTGCAAACAGTGTCTGCATGTTACGGTTTGGCCAATAATTTTCCACCCAGCTCGGTCATTGTTTAAATTTGACTTTAGTTGAGCCCGGTAGTGCTTTTAGGGGCCCTCCATGGCTTGAATATCAAGCCATGCATGGCCAGCCTTACTTCTGAGTTTGCCATCCTGCAGTGATAACTGCTCCATGCTCTCCATAACCACTGTTGCCACCTTCTTCTGCATCTGGTGTCTTCCTACTTTGGGCCATTGAGCAGCCTGTGGGGTTTACCATGCCTATGCATTAAGTTGCATTATCAAAGCACTGCGCTTAATGTTTGCAGTACATCTTTCCCATACATTCACATTTTCCTTTGTTTTGTCTCTTTAAAAACACTGCAAGTACAGAAAAACACCAGTTGATCCTATCATAAATACAGTAAGCACTTAAAGTGACATTAAAGTCAAAAAAATGTTTCCCTCCCCCCCCCATGTTAATGTCAGCACTTACCTTAAATGATGTCTCTTGATTAAATCTATTTCTTCTTTCCTGTCCTTTTCAGCCTTCTCTCCAGCGCTGCGGTGGGTCTCCGATCCAGCGCTGACTCCTCTCTGCTTGCTGGCACTTCCGATCCCACGGGGTCTGCATGCGGGTGCACGCGTCCATAGACATACCTTGTGTCTCTCCTCGTCTCCCGGCCGAAAATCCAAACTGCGCATGCGCCCGCCCCAAGATGCTTTGCGGCCGCCCGAGCAGTTTCGGATTCTCAGACGGGAGCGCGCAGCGAAGACAGGGTACGTTTAAACCGCTGTTAAAGCGTTAAAAAACAACTTTTTGTATATATCTACTGCTTGCTAGCAGTAGATATATGCTAAAGGGTTTAGAAACCCTTTAACTGTGTTTAGTGAGCTGATAACAGTGCCGATGTTGCACTGAAATCCCAAGCTATGTTGTCAGCCCTGCCTGAGTTCTTCCGTGTTGGACTAGAATACTCAACCTTTATGCTGTGGATATAAGGAGAGGGGGTATGTTCTGTAGTCCAGCACAGGCTAGTAAATAGAGGTTAGTTTAAAATGAAGGTCTGCTGTAAAACATATTGTTTAGATTATTGACATAACATATTTTAAATAGTTTAAATACACTGTGTATCTAAACACATTGAACAGACTAAGTTCTCTTTACTGTTTGTCCTGTATGAGAACATTAATTTTTTTGCCACTTGGTATGTTAACTTACATTTAATGTGTTTTTTTAAATATCTCTGTGTATTGTTTCAGCTCATTTCCATCATGTTATTGAGCAGCTAAGATTTCGACAGGGTACTGTCGTGAACATATTTCTGTCAGCTGGTATGTGATGCTTCTCCTTCTTAAAGTCTAGTTTTATTTTTGTGACCTCTTCTGCCCTCTCCAGTTTTTCTTTTCTATTTTGCTTCTATGTCTCAATTCAGGAATTTTATTTATTTAATTTTTTTTAAACTTTTGTAGCATTTCAGTTTTCATATACTGCAGTGTTTGGAGCCTACACAGCCTTTATCTTCATAAGGACAGGTAAGAATATTGGGACGACCAATTTGACTTGGTTTACTTGTAGTTTAACAACAGTGTTAATATAGTAAAACGGCACTATGCGTACACATCAGCACACAACACATCAACACGTAGGAAGCGGGCAGGATTTTGTTCACTAACTTCAAGAAAATGCATTCTGTCTGTGTAATTGATCATCATATCCTAGTCAGAATTGGTCACACAACATCATGGCTTGTTGGACATGCCCATGTGTGTGCCAAAAAGTTTAATTCTAATACCTATGCATGGCATCAGTTTACCTATTTGTTTGTCATTTGACACTTGTTTTTTCTAGTGCACATATGGTGCTACTTTCTGTTATCTCATTCCCAGCACCGAGTAAGGGGAGGCTTTCTTTGCACATGCTTCAGAGCCACAGTCCATGAACATGTCTCATTCTGTTCCAGGTCATGCACTGATCAGATTTGAGTACCTGCTCATGGAAAACAATGTCTACTGATTGCTGGGGTCCAATAGCCCCTTAAGCTAGCCATACATTGTACTATTTTTTTAAAACAATTATCACAGATTCCTCCATCAAGACTAAGCAGCGTGGATGGAGGAATCCCTCACTGTTTCCATTCTGTTGGCAGCTGCTGTCATAATACCCAAACGCTGCTTGCGGCTGATTAGCTGCTTGCACCGCTTGGCTGAAGATTTTTCAACCAGCTTTTCCAATCTCCTTGTTGACAGGGGCACCCACCGTGCGAATTTTGACCGCTTATTGAAGAAATTTGCATAGTGTATGACCAGCTTTAGAATAATCTCCTTGGGCTGGCAGGTTGGGCGCCAGGGATTTAGTTTGATGAATCAATTAAAGGGATTTTATTGCTAAAAAAAAAAAAAAAAATAGTGAAAAGTACACAGTCCTATCTGCCCTTGAATACGATTTTCTACTTTAGATGCTAGCCATTTCAGTAGGCCTCAAATGATTCTGTGTTTTGCTGTGGAGTGCAAATCAACAGGTTTACTTAACTTCCACTCTCTCCAGCCTCACTTACTTGCCTTCCCTTGGCTTCCCCACCTTTCAGTTCAGGCATCGGAAGCAAAGAGAAATACCTGGTACTTCTATGTATGGGGGAGCATGTGACTCACTCCTCTTCCTACCACGTGATAGTACTTGGTGATTCCCTAGTGCCATCACGTGGAGATTTAAACTTTGTACAGGGCTTCCTCTTTTCGCAGGGAAGGTGATTATGTGCTGCTGGGGAGGTGGAACGTTAGGTGGACGTGCATAAGCCCAGGGTTGCTTTATCCCTGCTCTAGTTACTTTGAATGCTTAACACTTGTTAGCTTACTTTGTCTGAGGAGAAAGCTGATGCATTGGGATTGATTTACTATATAAGTAAAGGATGTTCATTAGCCGAGAATATTCCAACCGGTTCCTTCGATCTGATGATCTAGAGATGCCGGTTGGAAGAGTGCCAACAGCGGTACCCATGCAGTAAATTTTGCCAGTTTCCTCATAAACAGGACGAAATTCAAAGCATGTACAGCCTACTTTAGTCTCAACCTTTTTAAGTAAATCAACCCCAGTATCTATAGTACCCATTCACTTTCAGTGCTCTGGTAAGTGGAGCCCCTTTAGATGTACCTTTTTAAAAGCCTTTAGGGTTTTTTTACATCTTCTCTACACATTGACAAGGATTTTAGAACATACTGTAAATAACAGAACATGTTGCACATTATTGTCAATGGTAGATACAAAACTTAAGTTGGATGTTCTCGATAGGATCTGTGTTTAACTTAGGAGAAAGCCTTCACTTTATACAATTTCTTTGGTACAGTTGACAACAACTGTACAATGCTCCCTATGTTATAATTTACTGTCTCTCCTAGCTTGCACGCCATGGATTTTATGTATCAATCAGTGGCATGACAGCATGAGGGGAAATAGCTATAGTAAAGTATAACTTGCAACTGGTTCAAAACACAGCTTGACAAATCCAATGCAGGTAAAGAAAACAAACTCTCTTTCTGCCGACCTAGCAGTTATTAATATTCTTCAGTGATTATGATAAACCTGGCAAAACTGATAATTGTTTTATTCCTTTTAGGACATATTATAGGGCCTGTACTTTGCCATTCCTTCTGCAATTACATTGGATTTCCAGCCATATTTACAGCTTTGGACCACCCACAACGCATAACTATTGTCATTTTCTACATTCTCGGAGTTGTACTTTTCTTTCTACTTCTGTATCCCATGACTGATCCTGCTCTGTATGGGGACATTCCTATCTGTTACTTATTGGAGAAAGGATCTGCAGACCACAGCTCTCTTTGTTCCTGACACCAACAGCTGCTATTATACTGACCACCTTGAATGTTCTATTAGTACTGGCGAAAGATAATTATTAGTTTGGTCTTGCGGGTACGTCTGGTTAACACATGTGGTCCACAAGTACTCCAGTTTTAAACGAGGCGACAACCTGATCTGGTGCGGAAATGATTGGTTAAGCTTTGTTTAGATGTCATATGAACTACTGAATGTCAGCTTGATGACCGGTTTTGTGCTGAGCCATCTTTCAATAATTTTAAGAAACGGGAATGTTTTGACATATCTACCAAATTAACTCAGAGTGATGGGTTGAAAGTTGGCCCATCATATCAAGCTACATTTTTAAAACCAGGTGCTCTCCATAAGATATCATATATATTTTTGGATGTAAATGTATTCCATAATGCTATATTTTTTTACATATTGAACCTAGTCATAAACTATTTTTAGCTTTATTGAAGCATGGGTAAAGAAGGAGTTCCTTAAAAAAATATTGAGATGCTTGTACCCTCTGTGCCCCTCTTTCTCATAATGGTAGTTGGAGACCTGGTTTGTACAGCTGAACTTTTTTTTTTTTTGTAATGATGGAAGTTTTCAGAAAAAGTGAATTATTATTATTTTTATGGATCATGTTGAAAAGCTGCTACAAGATGTCTTATTGCCAACTACAAGGGTTCATTCTTCTATCCATACTTCATTTTGCTGCTGTTTATTTTATCTTCGTACAGAGCTAGGGCTGAACTGCATGTGGGGGTTTAAACACTTATTGCCATCAAAATGATATTGCTTTAGTTTGAAAACATTAAAATCAGTGTTTTGCAGACAGGGTGATTGTCAATAAGGGTTAACCTCAAGCTAGAAAATGCTTTGATTACAGTGAATGGAGATCTACCATTTTATTTGATTGACAAAGTGAAAGGAACTCACTGTTTGGTTGAAGAGTGATAAAGAATTGATAGTATTAATGCTACACTACCCTATTTTCACTAATAAAGTTTATGAGGCATCACTAATGTGAAAATCTGGGTAGCACAGGCCATATTAAAGCTGAACTCCAGGCAAACGACTAAAGACGGTAGTGAAATACATGAATGCAAACTGATTTACATGGCAGCCTTGTGATCCAGCAATCCCTGCCAGACCACATAGCCAGGCCTGCAATCTTCGCTGGACACTCCCCAAGCTTTTTTGATTTGTACAATGAAGGAGAAGCAGCACACTGTGAGAGCATCCATCTGCTTTATCCTCCTGTCAGCATGTTTTACTTCCAGCTCATGTGCACTGCAAAAACCTATTTAATGGGCTTTAAAAGGCTTTCATAGCTTCATGATGTGGTGTTTTTATATCTGCCTGGAGTTCAGACTTAACTCCATTTATGTACGCTTGGTGTTTTTCTACTTCCAGTTGCATCCTTTTGATTTAGTTTGGATTATGTTTTAAGTGAATCAGTGACAGAATGAGTGAATAAAATTGATACAGAAATGAACTTTTTCAGAAATGCAGATCACAGTGCAAAGACTTTGTGCAAATGTTCAGCATAACGTTTACTGTAGACCAGTTAAGAAATGTTTGCTTGCAGGGACGTGTGGTCAGGGGAGGCAGGTGACGCAGAGCCTTGCCTAGTATTATGGAAAAAAGCTGTCAGCTTCAAGTCTGAAGCTGACATCTTTTTCTCCATTCAGACCGGCTTCTAACAGGTTACATAGCGGGGTAAGCCTCCCTGCTGTGTAACCTGTCATGGACGGAGCACTGCCTGTTAATTACAGGCGGTGCTTCATCTGGCTTTTGACAGCTATGTTAGGTTACACAGCAACGAGCCTCCCCACTGCTGTGTGTAACCTAACATAGTGAGACCAGAGCAGCAAAGCCTCTAATTAGTGTTAGCGGGTTGAGCTCTGTGGATGGTTTGGACCAATGGCAAAGCACCTGTGGTCCTAGCTGTCAAATAAAAAAAAAAAGGACATCTTATCTAGATGCCTCATCAGTGACGGGCAAGTGAGGGACAGGGAGGCTCCTCCCTGTCCCCTCCCTCCACACATAGCTCGGTGACCGGGCTTGGGGTGGGGGCGGGCAGAGGGAAGGGGGCGGCACAGACCTTACTGCACATCCCTGGTTGCTTACCATGGATTACTGCATTTTTCAGTCCTTTCCTTGGTATTCTACTGACTATCAGAATGAGATGTACTTTGTTATTATTACTACATAAAGATGTTTACTGAACTAATGAATAGGTTTACAGTGTTCTAGTAAAACTTGCTGTCATGCAAGTCTAATTAAATCACCAGGGCTCATTTTGTGGTTTCTTGATGCAATAGAAAACTTTGGCTACTAGAGACAGGCTTGGTAAGTCTAATTAAGAAGGAAGACGTGGGAGGATTTATCAAAACTGGAGCAGACAAAATCTGGAGCAGCTGTGCATGTTACCAATCAGCTTCACTCATCCGTTTGTTCAGTTAAGAGTTGAAAATGAAAAAGAGAAGCTGATTGATTCCCATGCACAACTGCTATAGATTTTGTCTGCTCCAGTTTTGATAAATTCCTCTCATAGTATTTGTTGTAAATAAGCAACATTCTATGTAGCAATCTTTTTTTAACATTAGTAGCTCCGTAAGCACTCATCTAGAGAAAGCTATAGGCAGGGCTTAAAGAATCCACTTGTCCTCTCGTCTATGACAAGAGACTGGCGGAACCCGACTGGGAGCTTTACATTCAAGCGATCGTGCGTCTCTAGAGATGCCTGATCGCTCTTATTAACAGCAGCTGCCGGTGCCGAGATCCGATGCGGCCGGGACCGGCACCGCTGCTTTGTGACAGGAGATCAAAGGTGATTGGTACACGATCTCCTCAGTCCCCAAATGCAGGAAGTGATGTATATTACATTCTGCTGTCACTCTACAGCTACAGAACCTGGTGAACCAGATCTCTGCTTCATCAGCTTTTTTGGGGGGTCCCTAGGTGACAGGGGTCTTGGAGCCCCCTGATGTCTCCATAAAGAGGACCTGTCATTTAAATTGGCTATCACATAGGGGGCTTCACAGCCCCCTATGTGATAGCGATAAAGTTGTGTAAAAAAAAAAAAAGTAATAAAATACATTTTGTGGGTTGCTTTTTTTCAAAAAAAAAAATGTTATGCTTCTTTTTTAAGTACCCCGCCTCCTACATACACACACAGATATGCGTCAGGTGCGCCTACAAGCGTAAACTACAATTGCGCCCATTACACTACACATGTTACATATCAGCGCAAACGTCAGAGTGAGAGCAATCAGTTTAGGGCCATTAATTACTGATAACACTAAACTGATGAGCAATACAAGCGTTTTAAGCGTCGCCTATGGGCAATTTTCAGTGTTGTCGTATTTTGTGGGCGCACAATTTTAAGGCTTGACATGATTGATGTCTATTTACACGATGTGGCCCCGTCTTTTATATTTTACCAAAAACATGGGTAGGAATAGATGTTTTATACCATAACATAGGGAAACTTTTTTTTCCCCGAAATTTATGGCACTTTTTGCATTATATAGCAAAAAATAAACCCCCCCAGTAGTGATTATATACCTCCAAAAGAAAGCTCTATCTGTCCCCCAAAAAAATGTTAACATACATTGCAAGGCTATAGTCCGGTCATGCTGACTGGTGAAATTTTTGCCTGACTGGTGAGACACCCTAACATTTTTCAAGCCCTGGCTATAGAGCAAACTTATCAAATGCGTTGTACATATACAAATGGTAGTCTGACCTTTCAGTGTCTAGCCTGGGCAGGTGTTCTGCTTGCATTTTTTTTCCCAACGATAAAAGAAGATTTGGAGGGTTTCAGCTATGAGTATGACAATTGACGTCAACATTAATGGAACACTGCAATCAAAATTGAAAGTGAAGCCTTGAAATGCTAGGAATGACTAGGTCTTTGCGTTTTATCTAGGTATAGCAGCAGGTTGTCCTACTGCTTGAGTTTTCCTTGCTGCTGGTAATCCATTCTGAGATGATTGAAACTGCAGTCTAGCTACTACCAATTCCTTACTACTGCTCACACAGAGGCACAGAACATAAGATGTATAGAACAATGCGATCTGAGGAAAGAGAGTTTCGCTTTAACCTGCCCTTTTAGAAATATGGTAGCTCCTATTGCAGACAATGTGCAGACTATGAGGCTGTGATCCTTATCCTTCATTAGTTGGTGAGTTGCTTACCTGCAACAAGCATATGCATTCCAGATGCTAAGGCTGTCTAAGTAGTAAAGTGTACATGGGTGCCCCGTTCTCCCTGAAATGAAGGCTGCAATCCCCCAAATATTATAAGAGACCAGTAAGTAAACACCAGAGTCCACCTGTAATTGAAGTATAGCTTATAGATCTATTAACCTTTAAGTGTTTGTTTCAATAGGTGGCAGACATTTACAGTGCATATTGTGGTTGTCTCACATTAGTAGGGCTGTGATTGCTACAACTCCTGATGTAGCAGAGTGTGAGTAATTTTGTGCTGAAGGTAAGCACAGGTATGTTTTGTCTTACACTGTGATTTTATAGAGGCACAAAATCATCCACCTGCCCTTGCCTTTACTGCAATTGCTACTTAATGTATTCAGAAATCTGTCATCAAAGATGCCAGAGAACCATGAAGTGATGCTTGCTTTATCTTGTGTTATTCAAGACCGCTGCTAAATGTTTGGATTATGTTAGTCTTTGCTACTGCTTAAGAAGCATTTCAGGTACTCTAGGACCTCTACCCTGGAGGAAGCAGATAGGCTAATTTCAGAATCTCCATTATTAATGCAGACATTCCAACTTTCTGGGAGTCTCCCGCTATTGGATATGGGCTCCCGGCCACCCGGGAGAGAAACATTTTCTCCTGGAAAGGTACTGTTTGTTTTTTTTGCTGCCATCGGGGCTGCCGGCGAGCTCAAAGGTGTATGTGGATTGCAATTGCAGGCTGCCTCCTGAAAATGCTAGTTAACTGTCTTTCTTGCTCTTTTAAGTCACAGACCTGGAACAAGTATACAGATGAGAAATTCTGATGTAACTTGCAAGCAAATCTTGTCCTATATATGTTTTAGTACTTGCGGTTTTTAATCCACTTCACTTAAACTGCTCAGTTTATGCTTTTGTTTCTGTATGTTTTTTATACTTTTTGCTATGGCAGCTAATTAACATTTGCATACAGAATTTTAACTTATTGCATAAGCATTATCTCCAGTTTTTTCCCCTAATATTTTGAAAGGGATATGACCACTATTATAAACTTTATTGTGAACATCACAGTGATTTATTGTGCAGGTGCTTTAATAATCCTATTCTATGGTAAATTCACCCAAAATTGAAGTTTACCTATTGGTTGGATAGCATCAGGTGCAGTTACTCACCAACTTGTCAGTGAGACCAAATGGGAATTATCCTGGCTTTGGTCTACACATTTCTCAGCATGCAGCCAAGGATGGCAAGTTATACCCAATCCATGAGTTAAAGGTGGAGATCCTTTTCCCGGCTGCACAGGTGATTTCAGAGGCCAAAGGGTATTTTGAACCAAGTGGTAATCCTTAAAAAAAACTGCCATATATGTTTTTGTTTGACTTGACTATTACCAAAAATGTAGTTAGAAAAAATTGTGTTCACAAGTTTACTTTGTAAAGTTTTGCTACCCCTTTGGTCATCAATATATATATATATATATATATATA